TATTTTAAAAATTATAAATGTTTTGACGAGCCCCGATAAATGTTTTGGAAAATATATATTTAAAAAAAAAAAAAAAAATAGACTTGTAGTAGTAACGTTATTTATTTATATATAAAAAAAAAAAAAAGGCGAGCCGGCGAGCCGAGCTGCTCTTCTTGGGCGAGCTCGGGCACAAGCCGAGCTCGACCACAAGGAAATGAGCCGAGCTTTCCGACGAGCAACGAGCTCGGCTTGTGCGAGTATGGGCCGAGCCGGCCCATTGACATCCCTATAATTTTCCCTTTATTAAACAGTAAATAAGTCTCGAGCCATATGAGCCTCGAAAATAGGGCTTAAAACCTAAATGGGCTCAGATCCTCAATTCAAACTATGAGCCCATTATACAGCACTTCATATACATATCTCGCTTAGGGTTTCAGTGTACACGCACTCAGCAGTCCTTCGCCTTAAATCCTTTTACCCGAAAGATCAACCCTTTGCAACAAGCATGGCGGACAGAGGCGCAGGAGACCGTGGAGGCTTCGGTCGTGGTTTTGGAGGCCGTGGGCGTGGTGGTGATAGGGGAGGCCGCCGAGGAAGTGGCCGACGAGGCCGCCGTGACAATGAGGAGAAGGAGTGGGTTCCAGTGACAAAGCTCGGCCGTCTTGTGAGAGACGGAAAGATCAAATCCATAGAGCAAATCTACCTACACTCTCTCCCAATCAAGGAGTATCAAATCATCGATATCCTGATCGGTCCTAGTCTAAAAGACGAGGTGATGAAAATCATGCCGGTGCAGAAACAGACTCGGGCAGGTCAGAGAACAAGGTTCAAGGCATTCGTGGTTGTCGGCGATTGCAACGGGCACGTGGGACTTGGTGTCAAGTGCTCGAAGGAGGTGGCCACTGCCATTCGTGGCTCTATTATTTTGGCCAAGCTGTCAGTTATTCCCGTTAGGAGAGGATACTGGGGGAACAAGATTGGCAAGCCCCACACAGTCCCCTGTAAGGTAACCGGCAAGTGTGGTTCGGTCACGGTGCGGATGGTTCCTGCTCCCCGTGGTGCCGGGATTGTTGCTGCTCGGGTTCCGAAGAAGGTGCTCCAGTTTGCTGGTATTGAGGATGTCTTTACCTCTTCTCGTGGATCCACCAAAACCCTTGGGAACTTTGTCAAGGTCTAAGCTTTTCTCTAGTTTTTTTAGAACATCTCTTTATGACACGTATTTAATATTTTTTATGATCTTTCCATGTTTAATTTGGTTAGATATGCGTTGCTTCTATGTTAATATACTCGGACAATTCTCGAGCTAATTTAATCAATCTTTAAAAAGCTACCACTGGACTTCACTATCTGTTACTGCTTGCTCACTGAAATTTAAAAATTTGCTCGTTGCTAACCTAAATTTGAACAAAGTTACTCGTTGCCCATTAAACTTTGCTATAGGTAGCAATTATGGAAATGATATTGGGTGATTAATGGGTAACTTTATTCAAATTTAGGTGAGCAACAAGTAACTTTTTAAATTTTGATGATCAAGTAGTAACATATAGTAAAATTTAGTGAGCAAAGAGTAACTTTTTGAATTTCAATAAGCATGTAGTAACCTATAACAAAGTTTAGTGACCATTGATTGATCACAATTCTCTATATTCCAAGACACGAACAAGCAAAAACTTACTTTTGATGATTTTTGTGTTCAATGTGTGATAATTGTCTATTGCTTTATCATTTATAAGTTGGTATTAGCGAAGGCATAGCAGTATCCTTTTGTCAGAATCCATGTGAATGTTTTCATGTCTGAAGGATTTTTAGACGAATAAAAATTCTAGTAGAATGTTCATACAAGTAATTGGTTCTGAGATTCATCGGTGTATATAGGTCTTATAATCAATTTAAAATAAATGCCGCATCGATTAATTTTATGTTAACTGATCACTTTTCTGTGAATCTGGTATGTTACATTCAATCAAGATACAGCATTTTTTATTGAATGCTTTTTGCAAAAGACAATATCTGTAGTATACACTTAGCATTAACGGTGAAACCATAATTTTTTAATTTACGTCCGTCTCTCTAGATTTCATGTTTTGGGGCCATTTCATTGATGTTCGAAATACTAAAGAGCAAATCACCAAATTTTTCTGTACTTTGTGAATTTGCATCTGGTGATATGCGTTTATACTATGTAATATATACAGGACTTTTCTATGCTTCTTTCGCGTAGTGTTTTTCGCTCAATATCTTATTGCCTATGTATTGATATGCCAATGATTGATTAGTACTTCTATTCAGAGGCACTTGGAATTTGTACAGAACTAGACATAATGTCTGGGTGTAAGTGCTAAATTCTTAGTTTCTTCTAATAGCGACCAAGGGAGAATTCTTGACTTGGGATTTTGGTTCCTCAAGTGGCACCAGTTCCTACTTCTGCTTTTGAGTGACATTTCTATGTCACGTTCACCTCATAAAGTTATGTCTGATTTGGCTAATAATACGTTTTCTTGTCTGTGCAGGCGACCTTTGATTGTCTTTTGAAGACTTACGGGTTCCTTACTCCTGACTTTTGGAGGGAGACTCGCTTTGCAAAATCTCCTTACCAAGAGTACACTGATCTTTTGGCAAAGCCAACTGCTAAGGTTGTCCATGTGGTGGAGGATGCCGAGGCTGCCTGAGCAATGTGGACTATGTTGTTATGGTGGGATTTTTCAATTTCCCGTATCAAAGACCAGTTGCAATTTTCATCTATTTTTAAGTGTCTTTTTGAGTCTACTATTCTATTGAGGGATCGTTTGTTTATCCAATTGGACAGAATACTCGATCGAGTTTTGCTTTTATTGTAGTGAATTGTTTACATGTTTTGGCGTATATTGTTGGTTTGTTACATGTATTGTTGGTTTTGTTAATCCTTTTATTTCTCCCGAAAGAGGGAAAATTAGAGATGCATAGCAACGTTAGAATGGTACATCTACTTATTATATATGCCTTTTATCTATCGTTCTTGTCTTATTGCTTAGTGTTTTCTTGGCTGATTGCTTTAGTTGAAAATTACTATCACAAGAGAGAGGGAGAATGCAAAGGGCGCGTAGGTGCACTATTTCGTGGTGGGAATTGCAACTTTCCATAAATTTCCCAGAAAATTTAATTGTCAAGTAGGACATATAATTATTATCGTAATTAAATTGAAAGAATTTGAAACCTGGGTAACGAATAAAGGTTTGAAACACGAAAAAAAGGGGTTATGTCTCATATTTTTATAGCTGTCCATTAAATGTCAAAGAAGTCGTGAGAAAAAATATTTGCCAGGTAGGATGGAACTATTATCGATGACTTCATCAAACGAATTTCACTTGGCAGAATCTGGGTATGTCGGAATCCAAATGATGTAGATGTTTTGTTGGTTGGTTGTTCAGCTCAAGCTATCCATGTTCGTGTTAATGCATGTAATGGTAAATGGAGTTGTATAAATGGAAAGGCTTTCGCAAAATCATCGATTCCAAAAGAAAGAAAAAAGTGGCAAAAAGAAGAATAGATTTATTAAAAAGAAAGCCCTTCAATCAACATGGGATAAGAGTAATGATGATGATGATCATAAAGAAGATGGAAGTAAAAAAATTGCCAACATTTGCTTCACGGCTATTAATGATGAGGTAAATTTGAATGAAAATGGTTCATATGATAAATTATCTACCTCTTATGATGAAATTCTTGAAGAATTTGAAAAACATGTTTTAAATCATTCGATCATCAAAAAGAAAAATTCTTTATTGAAAATTAAGGTAAATGGACTTTTAAAAATTCAAAGCGATTTTGAAAAACAAAAAGTCGATTATGATTCGTTAATTAAGGAGAAATCTTCTTTACAAGAAAGGATTTTAGATTTCACTCAAATTATTCACAAATTTACTCAAAGCAAGAAAAATTTTGATTTAATACTTGGTGAGCAAAAATATGTTTTTGATAAAAGAGGAATTTGATATAAACCTTTTTGAAACAAAAATCTCTTAAATATTTCTTTGTTAAAACTTCCACTTCCCCTATTTCAAATGTCACGTGTAATTTTTACAATAAAAATAGATATGTAGCTTTTTATTGTTCTCTCAAAAAGTGATTACATTTTCAAAGCAAATACAAGTGGATGCCAAAGTCCACAAATACTAACAATCAAGGAGCCAAAGTTGTATGGGCACTAAAGACCAAAAATTTAATTATATTTGTAGATATCAACAAAAATAGAGAGAAAATGGACCTTGAATAATAGATGTTCAAATCACGTGACCAGAAATCAAGCTTCATTGTCCAGCTTCAAAATAAAAGATGGCGGTCATGATGCTTTTGGAGATAATGCGAAAGCAAAAAATCGTTGACATTGAAATTATTGGTAATCATTCATCTACCTTGATTGAAAATGTCTTTTTAGTAGATAACCTAATTCGTAATCTACATAGTTTTAATCAATTGTGTGATGAATGTTATCATATCAAATTTGATTCTTCTAAGTGTATTATTAAGGATACTACATCAAAAGAGGTGATATTTATAGGAAGCCGAAGTAAGAATGTTTATGTCATTAACACTAAGTTTGAATGCGGAGAAAAATATTTATCGAGTTTAATATGATACTTAGTTATGAGATAGAAGATTATGTCATCTTAGCATGGATCTACTTTCAAAATTTCCAAAAATTATTTTGTTAAAGGTTTGTCAAGTTTGGAATTTGAGAAAGACAAAATTTATGATACATAGAAAACAAGTAAAGAGTTCTTTCAATTTAAACCAACATTCTTCAATTGCAAAATCTTTTTGACTTCTCCACATGAATATTTTTGGATCATCTAGTATCACAAGCTTAAATGGTAAACATTATACTTTCGTCATTATTGGCGATTTTTCTAGATTTAGTTGATTCCCATTTTTTAACGTAAAAGATGAAGCAGTGAATGCATTTGAACATTCTTGTAAAAAGGTTCACAATAAAAGGTATACACTACTAATACCATTAGGAGTGATCATGATGGAGAATTTGATAATATTGTTTTTGATGATTTGTGCAAAACTTATGATTGTGAACATAATTTTTCGACTCCTAAAACTCTTCAACAAAATGGTGAATTGCAAAAGAATGGCTCGGACTATACTAATAAAAATAGTTTAGAAAAATACTTTTAGGTCGAAGCCGTTAACACTACTTGCTATATTGTTTATAAAGTTTCAATTAGTCGAAAGAAAACACAAAACCCCCCATGAGTTTTCGAAAAATAGAATTCCAAATATTGGCTATTTTAAAGCTGTTGGTTGTAAATGCTTTATTTGAAAATTTTGATTCGAAATTTGATATTGGAATCTATCTAAGTTACTCATCGACTATCAAAGCTTATAAAGTCTTTAACAAAAAAACTCTAGTCGTTGAAGAATCCATGAATGTCCTTTTTGATGAAACTAACATTTTTTGTCGTGAGAAATGTATTACTAGTGATGTAGGATCAAAAACCCCTTTCGAACAAATGACTATTCAAGACCAAAATAAGGAAGATCCAAGAAATGAACACTCCTATGAGCTCATCAATCAAAATTGACAAAATGATTAAGGTACTTCCATCAACATTACAAAATATCGAGGTATGATCGGATCTCTTCTTTACTTAATCACAAGTAAACTCGATATTATGTTTAGTGTGTGATTATGTGCTAAATTTCAACTCAATACTCAAGAATCACACCTTAGTACCATAAAACGAATTTTAGATATATTAGTAGCACGAAGATATTACATCTACAATATTCTAAAGGCACCCAAAAGGAGGATTGTATTCGAATTTGTGAATACGAAGAATCAATTGATCAATATTCTTACTAAACCTCTAACACTTGATAGATTTTCATATATTTAAAGAGGTTTGGGAATTATCAATGAATTTGAAATATGTGGCTAAATTGAATTCATCATAAATGTTCTCGTCTGATTTTATGTGCATAATTGGTTGGAACTTATATAAATGATTATGCTTTTTCACTCATGCTTTAATTATTATTTTACTATAAATGTGATGGTTATTTCTTATTTAAACTTGTATATATTTGGCATCTTGTACTTAATTTAGGGGGAATATATTATCATTTTCTATGGTTGATTTAAAGTTTTGATCTTATATACCATACTCTTCCTCTCATATGTGCTATTTTTTTTTTTTTTTTTTTTGCTTATTCTAAAAAGGGAAATTGAGTAAGATAGATTTGAAAAGTAATGACAAGAGGGGATCTTTTATTGTTTCCTAAGGTTGTGTTTCGATCTTAAATGGATCTGACATCGTCCCGAAGAAAGGGTACACCAAAAAAACTTCGATGAAAAGGACCCTTAGAGTCGACTTCAAGGAAGGTACATGTATATTGAACCTAAATACTATAAATTAAAAATTATTGTATCCACAAATTCTCATTTGTTATGATGGACATGCATGCAAGTTCGACTTTTGTTAAACAAAGGATACCAACATCAAAGCATAGTAAGATGCGTGTAGGAAAACTCGAACCTCAACCAATATCTGCTGAACAACAATATTTCATGTCTCCATAAGTCACATTTTCACAGTTTTCACTTCTGAAGCCATTCTCATTACCACAATATGGCATGCCGATATCATTATCATATATATGCTCAACACTTAGAATCTTCCAATTTGATGAATTCTTCGTCAACAAATGTCATATACAATTCGCAAAGTAGGTTCACATTCATTAGATATTTGTAATTCATTTGAATAGTTTCATATATGCATTGAGGAAAGTTCAATTTCTATTCTACGTCATGCTTTTCCATTTTACTATCCACATTTGCCGGATCAAGGGGCACAAGTGTTTGATGTTTGATGGACAACCCATGCAGTTGAGGTAGTAAGTAACTCTTACTTGTTTTATTCGAATCAACTTAGATGCTCCATATCCACTTAATATGTGCCCTAAATTGAAAATTATTGTTCGTAATGTTCCATTTCCATATCAATTGTAGCGTAATTTAATTAACTCGTTTTCCAATTGTTAGCAAAAAATTATGACATGTCCATGCAGTGGCTATTTTCCTACCGCGCTTCGAAGCTAAAGTATGCATTGGTTGCTTATGTATCTATCTCACTAATTTGCAGCTTAGCAGTGGAGTCCACATCAGCCGTTTGAGTGTTAACGGGATTGAAGTCGTGTCGTGGATATTACAAAGCTTCCGTAGATTCAATTGAAGTAGTGGTCCTGTTATTTTGAAGCTTCCAGTGTATCATTTTCAAATACCATTTCTGTACTAGATTGCAAAATCTGGAAAAAAATTTATTTTTCATTGACATTTATTTTGGCANAAAAAGCAAAAGAGTTTGTGGAATTCATCAAAGGTATCATTCTCATCACAGTTTCTATCTAAACACATTGCAGATCCTCGTTTGGGAATTGAAAATTGTTTTATTTCCGCTGTGCATGATTAAGTAAATTCCCAACAATATACAATTCGCAAAGTAAGTTCACATTCATTAGATATTTGTAATTCATTTGAATAGTTTCATATATGCGTTGAGAAAAGTTCAATTTCTATTCTACGTCATGCTTTTCCATTTTACTATCCACATTTGCCGGATCAAGGGGCACAAGTTTTTGATGTTTGATGGACAGCCCATGCAGTTGAGGTAGTAAGTAACTCTTACTTGTTTTATTCGAATCAACTTAGATGCTCGATATCCACTTAATATGTGCCCTAAATTGAAAATTATTGTTCGTAATGTTCCATTTCCATATCAATTGTAGAGTAATTTAATTAACTCGTTTTACAATTGTTAGCAAAAAATTATGACATGTCCATGCAGTGGCTATTTTCCTGCCGCGCTTCGAACCTAAAGTATGCATTGGTTGCTTATGTATCTATCTCACTAATTTGCAGCTTAGCAGTGGAGTCCACATCAACCGTTTGAATGTTAATGGGATTGAAGTCGTGTCGTGGATATTACAAAGCTTCCGTAGATTCAGTTGAAGTAGTGGTCCTGTTATTTTGAAGCTTCCATTGTATCATTTTCAAATACCATTTCTGTACTAGATTGCAAAATCTGGAAAAAAATTTATTTTTCATTGACATTTATTTTGGCATTATCCATTGCAAGTGATAATAGTGAATCCATTTTGATGTAATTCCTATTTGGTTTAATGTTGATCATTTTTTAGTGTGTGTGATGGACATTTTGCTCACACTGTCTTTCAGTGAGCCTGTTAAGGTGTGGAAGAATATGTTGAATATATGACATTGTGGTGGAAAGTGAGTGTAGTTCCATCCCCAAATTCATTGTCGAAAAAACTTATCAATTGAAATCATCAACAACAACAAACTGACATTAGCATAAGAAAACAATAAAAGTGACATTTAATCCGCTAACAACCACATACTTCGATGACACGAAGAAAATAAAAATAAAACCCTTCCAGCAAGGAAAAACCCAAAAATGTTAGTATAATTCTCACCAACATTTTTAAACTCCAAGTATAAACCTCAAATTGGTGACTTGTATACAATACGTCAGAAACGGTAAAACCCTTACAAAATCCCAGGCATAAAAAAATATAGCAAAATCACAACATTTGCTTACTCTCAAGGGACGCGTTCGCTGGTTTAGACTTCACAGTGGCTGGAAGTTTGCAGCTCACAACTTGTTTGTCGATCTACAATTTCGGACCAATTGTAACGGAGATGTTTTGAAAACTCGTTCTCTGTTTTAGGGGTAAATAGATTTGGGGTTCATTTCTTCATCAATGGGGTGATGCAGGCCGGAGGTTGTGAGGACTGTCGGTTGGCGAAACGGTGGTCTGTTTCAAGGGTAACGATTTTGGGAGAAAATGGGTGAGAAGTGTGTTTATTTGTCTTTTTAGGTTTTCAATTTATGTTTTTTTTATAACTTTCAAAAAATGCCATGTCACCCTGTCAAAAGGATTGTCAACACTCCATGTACGAGTAGCGCGGTCACGAACAACAATGTCTACATCTCCCTTGATGGGAAATTTGTCAGATACACAGATGCCTGGGAGAGAGAGAGTTGCTCCCAATGACGCGACAGAAAGGACTATTGAAAGGAGGCACAAGAAAATGATTAAAAACCGAGAATCTGCATCACGATCAAGAGCAAAGAAGCAAGTGAACTTTCATAAGCTTATATGTGGATAGTATTTTCTTCAGCTTTTTACCTTGATTATAGCCTGTAAGATATTGCTTTGTAGAACGGTAGGCTTACACTTATGAGATGGAGAACGAGGTTTCATGTTTGGAGGTGGAGAACGGAAGGCTTAGGAGACAAAAGGTAAGGGTTTGCCATATCTATCCTCAGAATTTTTGTCTAATTGTCATTATAGCATTTCATTATCATATATCGTCTAAAAAAGATGTCCGCACTAGTACGAGCTAACATTCTTTTTTCCGGCCATCATATCATACATGGCATCAGCACATTCTACGGAAAAAAATGGTAAATATGTTTTAATGAAGATGCTTTCATATAACATTTAACTTGCAAAAAAAGGTTATCTATTAACCAACTCAACAGCTTCAATTTTCTAGATCAATACCTGAAAAATAAAGCGTATATATATATATATATAAGAAAGAGTAGATGCACATTTATATCATTTTAGAATATATATAAAATGATGTTTATATCAAATAAATATGGAGAATTTGTATGTACGAAGTGGCGAAAGAAAATAAAGAAAACATAGTGAATCCCCTTCTTGAGTACACATTTTACTCACTTGGTTGCCACTTATCATCATGCACCTCCTTTTAATTACAGAAAAGATCGGTCTCTCAAAAACTCTTATTTGTCTAATTTCGATATTGAACCTCTCCTTTTTGTTTCAGTACCATGTCAGTGGAGGTCATTTTAAGAATTCTTCCAAAATCATGGAATATGCTACATGTTAAAACAAAAATCTTCCAAAAGTCAGTGGTGCCAATTGACTCCATTGCGAAAAACCTAGTATTTTAAATTTCCTTGCAAGATTGATACGGATATCAATCATCGAGATTTAATTTTTATTGTTATTGAACCTTATTGGTTATTTTTTCTATTATTGTGCTTGTAGTAATGAGTTGACCCAAACTCATCACTTGGTTACGTTTTTATTATTTAATGGTTTTTTTTTCATTGTAGTTGAATTAATGAATGATTTGATAAAAATTAAGATTGGCCGTTACCACATTTTCCTTTTTCCTACGTTTCTTTTTCTTCTCTGCTCGTTTTCTTCCTATCTTTCTTTCTTCTGTTGTTTTCTTCTAAGTTCTTGGGGGGGGGAAATTCTAAATCCTACATCAAATTTGATATCAGAGTTAAACCTTGATTCCAACATAATCTGTACCCAAACATTGCTATACAACCTTCAGCTTTCTCCTAAGTTTCAGCTGTCGACATCAACAAATCTGTACAACAACACAAAAATCTAATATCTTCACCTTTAATTCCATTATCTCACAAACCCGCAGCTACAGAACCCGATCACCATCTCCATCACCACAGTCACATCGGCGTCCCTCCCCTTACGCCATAACCAATTAAAACAGCAGCCAGCCTATAGTTCTGTTAATAGCCACTATGTAATACCCGATTCTGCTGCCATACCTACAACAAAGCAGATTCATATTCCCGTGATCAAAGCAGAAACCCGACCACTCAGCCACACACAAATCGCAACCTAAAAATATATATATAAAAAAAAAATCGAATCCCCTTCCTCATATCACCGGCTACTGCTAATCAACGACCTCGTGAAGTTAACACACCTCACCGACGACTAGACCATCACTGACCAGTACCCCATAACTCCTCCGCCTTCATCATCATCATTAAGACCCATAATCGACGACCCATACTATTCGCACCTACGACCTCCACTACGGTGTCTCGCTTGGCTTTAGTACCTATATTTGTTTTCAGTTTAATGGGCTTGAAGAAGGTAGTTTTGTAGGTTTTGCTTAGAGGTGTCAAGACAAATGGGCCGACCAGAGCCGTGAAAATCGACCTGAATCGACTCGCGTGACCCATGATCCGTGACCTGCATGGGCTCGACCAGATGGGTCAGCGAGCGGGCCTAGGTTGTAATCCAAAATTTGTGGGCCGAACCGAAACCCATAGCGGGCTGGCTTTTTTCACGTGGGCCATTACCCAACTCATATGTTGGCGGGCCGATCCTGCCCGGATCACCCGGATTGACACCTCTAGTTTTGCTTATTGGGCATAGGTAGTGAGTTTGGGTACTTGGTATATTAATTGTTTAAAATAAATGATTTTCTTCATTGGTGTTTTGGGAATTGGTTTGGGCCACTATTTTTTTTGTAATTATGGACCATATTTTTGTAATTTACTTTTAGTAGGAAAAAAAAAAGAGGAAATAAATAGTGTGAATAAAGAAGAAGTATTTTCTAACTTTTTTTAGGTATATCTTTGACATGTTGGTTGGCTCGGTATTTCGACGATCTTGTTGATTGGCTCGTTTACTTCGACAACTTTGTTGATTGGTTCGACTACTTCAACGAACAAAAAGGAGTTTCTGTTTTATTTATCGTTGGTTTATATTACTGTTTATTTTAAAATTGCATCGATTAATTTCTTTATGCTGCTGTTATTCTAATTTTACCTAAAGTTCAAGTGACCGAATCCTTTAACTTGTTAAATTCCCATAATTTTACCTAAAGTTCATGTGATCTAATCACTTGACTTGTTTATTTCCCCACTTATTTTACGTGATCAGATTTTTTTGACTAGTATTTGACCTCTGCTTTGCGATTTTACATATATCAGCAGTATTAACTTGTCATATTTGGATTTACATAATCCCAAATAATAATAATAAAGAAAAAAAATTGTTTTTATTTTAAAAAGAGTTGTTTATTGATCTAGCTCGAGTACACTTCATTTTTTTTTTTTTAAGAATGTTGCATTTCATTCTACAAAAAAACTTGAAGTACATAAACACCCAACGAAAACAAACACTAGCATATACTTGAGATGATGAAGCATGTCTATCAAATATCAAATGGAAACAAAAATGTCTAGCATGATTTGAAGCATACAAATGAAGGTAAAAGATTAGCTCATTTGGTTCTATCCTTGATAGAAAAAGGTAAGACTAAGAGCCTAAGTCATCCTTTGTGCAGCCTCCTTGGCCGTGAGTCTCCCTTTGGCCTTTGTCTTGGCCTGGGATTTTGAGCCCATAACTCCACCATCCCACTTCTTTCTGGTCTCATCGTATTTGTCGTTGAAGTTGGCCTTAATAGCTTCCAAGATCCTACTGAAGTCTATCTTGTCTTCATTCTTAACTGAGGTTAAGCACAGTGCAGATGTCATCTTCTTATGGACTATAGTTCCCAACTGTGCCTCTCCTTTCATGATGTAGTAAATGATTTCCATTTTTTTGCATAATACAGGAAGCCATACGACAAACTCAATGGGGTCAACATCATGGGTAATGACAAGAAGTTGAGCTTTGTTCTGCTCAATTAGATATGTTACATGGTTAAGACCATATTTCACAATGATCGGCTTCTTAACCTCATGTGTTTTTCCTTCAGCCTCAGCTCTTTTAAGAAGCCTCTCTTTCTTTTGAGCTCTATCCTCTGGCCTGTATTTGAGGAGCATCTTGAACAAGCTCGTTGCCAAGTTCTTGTCAAGGGTTTTTGAGAACTGATGAATTGGCGGCGAGACCTTAAGGCTTGCTTCAAAATCATCTTTTTGTGCTGAATCCTCACGACTTGAGGTAATTTCACAAATCGATGGAGATCCTTCTTCGGCAGCAACGCTCCACCAATACCAAATTGCTTTGGATGCTTCTAGAATAGTGGATTCACTAACTTTTTCGCTTTCCTTTTAGCCATTCCTGTCGGCAATTTTGCTCCCTTCTTTAGAGCCATTTTTCTCATATGGGATTCAGAACTGAGTACACTTCATTTAGTTGGTAGTATATTGCATGCAGTTGCGTAGTGGTCGTCTTATCATATCTAGTTCCAATAACCTAATCATGGATCCATCCCAATTTGATGCCTTCACCAGACAATTAATACAACTTGCCACTAACCAACAACAGTTCCAAACACAATTAGCAGCTATACAAACTGAGATGGTTGCTACTCTTGAAGGGAGTAAGAGCCTAACTGCTAGTCTAAACAATTTTAAGCAAATTCCTCATTCGACTGATGTTGATAATTCTGAAGTGTCCTATAATAGATAAAATTGTTGTCGACAAGGTGATCAAAAATATTTTCGACACGACCGTGGGGATGGGGATTGGATTCATAAGGGAGAACGAGGTTACGATCGTCACAGTACTCATTCTCTTCCACGTCATAAGGAGCATTCCTTTTAAAAACATTAAAGTAGAAGTTTCTACTTTTGATGATTGCTTATATTTGAAGTTTTTACTCAATGGATTGCCCTTAAACAAGAAATCAGTTAGTGACTGAGTATATTGCTGAATTTGAGAAATTTCGAATGAGATGTCATGTCATTGAGGATGAAGCTCTGACTTTGAGTAGGTTTAGACAATGTCTAAGAGATGATATTAGGCGTAAGCTTTTCCTTCAAGGTGTCATTACTCTTGATCACGCTTATTCTTTATCCCGAGATTATGAGTTGATTATTGGTACTCCATATGAAAAGTATGGTGACAACCATGCACCAATCTCATCAGCGTCGCTTCTTCTTACGTTTATTAGCAGACCTTTCCCGTCGAATGTTACTCCTGTGTTTGAAAATAAGGGTACAATTTCTGAAATTCCAAGGACTTCTTCTCATTTGCAGTGCTTCAACTGTAAGGACTTAAGCCACATCTCTTCCAAATATCCTAGTCGAGCCTTAGTCGTTGAAGGACAAAAAAAAAATAGTAGATGAGCAGTTAGAAGATCAAGTCTATGAACCTAACCTTGAAGAATTTGATGATTTAGATGATAGTGAGAACACCTTCTTAGGTAGTATTCAGACTTTTCCTATAAATCTATGTATTGTACCCCTTGTTCCCAATACCTCTCAGTCAAGTGTTGTATGTTGTACCATTATCTACCCCAAATGTGCTATTGATTTGTGTAATCATGCCATTCTCAAGGAAAATCTTGAGAATTGGGATTTGATCGTTCCAACAGTTCAAATTATATATAAAAATTTTGTGAATCAGTCTATAAGTAAGAGTTCCTTTGAAGTTATTCATGGTTATGAGCCAATGAAACTTTTAGACCTTATTCTCATGTCCCCACACGCTAGTGTGTCGATGTCGCTGAGACATTTGTACATCATCTTCATGATTTGCATATTGAGATCAATAAACAACTTGAAGTAAATAATGCATCATATAAACTTCAAGATCTGCATAATTTAATATTGGAGATCATGTTATATTGTAAGCTCGTAGTGCTGGTCCTTTTAAAGTTTTAAAGCATGTTGGTCCAAATGTACATGTTATTGATCTTTTAACACATTTTGGCTACCACTCTACTTTAAATATTGAGGACTTCATTATTTACAAACACTGTTTCAATTCCTTTGATGATCCTTTTCTATTTAGCTCCGTGGATCCCCAACCTGTCTATGTTGATATTTCTACTTCAATACCATTTGTCACATCACACAAATATACAATTCATGTTATTTTAGATGAACATGTTTTATTGGCCAATGATGACGAAATTCAGTACTTCCTTGTTTGTTGGGTCGATCCACCTGATTCTGATTGTACATGAATTTGCAAAGAGAGACTTCAGCAGTGTAACCCAGATTCATTGGACTTTTATAGGAGTCAGCAATATCTTCCTACGCCCAGGACACCATGTTCAGATCATATTCTTGGAGATAATTTGCAACTGGCGTTGTCATCATTTGTTGAGTTTCGATATTTGGTTCTTACGAAAGATCGTCCATCGTGGTAGAAGTTTATCCACTTGACAGGGTCTAGTTTTCTCCCACTCCAGGAGAATTGATACGGACATCAATCATCGAGATTTAATTTTTATTGTTATTGGACCTTATTAGTTATGGTTTCTATTATTGAGCTTGTAGTAACAAGTTGGCCCAGACCCTTCAAGTTAAGTTCCTTATTAGTTATGTTTTCTATTATTGGGCTTGTAGTAGTGAGTTAGCCCAAGCCCGGGTTTTACCATTTAATGGTTTTTTTTTTCGTTGTAGTTGAATTAATGAATGATTTGATAAAAATTAAGATTGGCCGTTGCCACGTTTTCCCCTTTTCCTACGTTTCTTTTTCTTCTCTGCTGGCTTTCTTCCATTTCTTCCCTTCTTCTTTTCTTCTGTTGTTTTCTTCCAAGTTCTTGGGTGGAAATTCTAATTCATCCTACGTCAAAGATGCTTCATTAACATTAAGGTTACCTAACATTTACCCACTTTTAGGTTTTTTAGACACATAATAAAGAGAAGCACTTCACCTAGTTCCCTTCTTAGATTTAAATTAGACCGTTCCTGTGGCAGGACAGGTAATCTTTTAGCCAAGCAATCCTTTTTATTGCCTCATCTTATACGAAACTTAACTCTCAATATGATTGGAGCAGTAAGTTTCCATTTGTGTTCTTGTCCCACCTAATTTATTGATAAATCATGCATTTTTTCCCCTGAGAGCAAGATTGAATGTGGATTTTTAATATGATTGAGAGAGAGTTTAAGAAAAGCAACTAATGCAGCGAATAGTTTTCCTAACATCTTGTCCCCTTCCAAAACTAAATTTAGTAGTTAAGGATTAAGGAAACAGAAAGGCAAATGATGTCCACGTCCAAAAGTTTCCCCTTGTTTTGGCTCATATTCTTTTCCCTAACATGCTGGAGCCACAGGTGACAAGATTACTTTCTGAGAATATTTTTTTCCCTTAAAATCACCGATATCCATGATTCATACAGAATGCAAGGTTGAGGGAAAATGTTAGCAGTTCACCCTCTAAATACGCAGATCAGTTAATGGGTATGAGACATAGAACACTGTATGTTGGATGTTTTAGGTTGATATGACACTTACTTGTTACTTCCGTTTTTCGATTTGATGCTTTGTTTCCTTTCCTTTCTTGTAATATTTTACATCTTCCTAGTTACCAATTTTGCTAGTTTTGGCTGTTGATTCATCAATATCTTGAGAGGAACAAAGATTAAGATGAGTTACAGGATACAATAAAACATGCACTGCTAATCTCTTCAAACTATAAATTATATTTATACTACTGATTGACTTTGTATAAAAGATTCTATGACTTAAAGATTTAGAACAGTTCCAGCCACTTAGGAATAAAGGATTTGATGAGGACTGAGAAAGGTATAACTAAGTTTATGGGATCATCTGTGAAGTTCAATACTTGATGAGTGCACATATATTTATAGAACAAAATTAGAAAACTGGAAATGCTTGTATAATTGTGAAGGCATTGTCAAGTATTTCATAAAATGTCACATTCTGAGAGAAGAATGTTTGAGGGAATTCTGTTTCATAATCACTGAAGGACTGAAATATTTTAATTTTAATTTTTCTGTGACTTTTACTTCTTTTTACTAATCAACATTATCTTCAAATACAACTTCTCAATTGCATGCTATGTATTGCTTTGGAAATAGATATCTAACCCCTTTATAAGGATGAGGATTTTCCTTTTTGACATTAAACTGATGTAAAATGAGTATCAGATTACTCGTTATGATGATTGATAACTAGCTTGGTGTTGGACAAATTAATAAATATTTTCATGTCTCTTTAGTTACCCAAAATATATTAACACTATTTCGGTGAGTTTGAGTGAAATTGACTGCTAAAATACATCAAAGTGTGGCTTCTCGTGTCAACATAGTAACATTTTCTTCTTCTGGATTATGATCCGTGGGAATTTGTTTGAAATTTTACCAAATCATTATTCCTTTTTAGTCCTGAAATATCAAACTTCACTTGGTATTGAACTACATTGCAATTTATTATGAATAAATGCTAGCATGGACTGCATACTCGACAGTCACAAACCAGGCGTAAAGATACAAAAATGTGTCCAGGTGGTTGTAATTTACCATGACCAATTCCTACTGGTAAAAGCTCACTTGTTCTCGCGACTTTATCACTTAGGAAGGGTTTTCTGCTATCTTTTAAAATTTATCTAGATTTGGGCTCGTGGTAAATTATTCACTGTTTTTACCTCGTTGAAGTTGACTTGTGGAGTCTGAAAATATTTTGTTTTCATTTTTTAGCTTGATTTCTTGTTGAGTTTCTCAACTTGTCTCATGTTACATAGCTTTAGTTCCTATATATCATATATTCTGTTAGGTTTTGATACCCAATAAATTCGGGCAATAATAAACTGATTTATTGGATTATACTTCATAGGCCTCGACCGATGAGTGAAGTCAAATGTCGACACCACAATCGAACAAACCATTCCTACAACCTATTTGGGTCATTTGAAGTAACATAATTACATTAGTGTTACTCATGATCCGACTCATTACCTTGGAAGGCTTTTCGGTGGTAGCCTTGTTATTTCCTATTGCGCATAACTATGTTCTAACCTAACAGCCCACACTTGGTACCTTTATATACCTCGCCCTGTTACTGTTGAAGGAGTGTGAAAGTTTGGGCAACCGTGTGTTGAGAGAAAGACATAGTCCCTTTGCTTTGTGCTTTCTTCCTAGGCTTCGTACCTCTTGTGCTTTGTCTTCTCATTTCTTAGTCTTTGTGGCTTACTCGTGAGCTCCCATAACCTCTTGACACTCAGCCCTTTGTGGGCAAACCGTACAGCAACCTTTTTGGGAAGATTGGTTTGGATTTAGGTTGTTGTTTGTGCTGGTTGATTGATAGTAACTGAGCCCGGAATTGAAGATTGAAGCACCAATTTCTAACAGTTGGTATCAGAGCACGTTGGTGGTGTCTTTTTTCCGGTGAAGAAAGCTGC